TCTTCCCGCAGAGGGTGGGGAGGCACTGGGACAGGTTGCCCAGAGAAGCTGTGGATGCCCCATCCCTGGAAGTGTCCAAGGCCAGGCTGGATGAGGCTTTGAGCAACCTGGTCTAGTGCAAGGTGTCCCTGCCCATGGCAGGGGGGTTGGAACTAGATGATCTTTAAGGTCCCTTCCAACCCAAACCATTCTATGATTCTATGATTCGGATGTGCCTGCTGGTGCAACGTCAGATGGTAATTTGTTAAGCAACTTCCAGCCTTTCAGCACAATAAAATAAGCCTCACAGGCTGTGTCCAATAAATAGCTCTTCCCTCGTGGTCCCTCAGATGTGAATTCTCATCACCTGATGTGTTGACGGTTTCTGGGCACATTAGCATTAAAGATCAGCCTTCTGCTGTGCCCTCTCCAGAGGTGGTTGTTATGTTTTGAAAATGCCAGCTGTGTGGGAACAAAATATCCAATCGATGATTAGCAAAAATCAAAAGCAGTTCTGGGATAGCGGATAATTGTTAATGAAAAATGCATGAAGGCTCAGGCGTAGGGAATTGTGGGGGTTTCCATTAAAAGCTGTGAATAAAAAATCACTGAAGGAGCTGACGATGGGGCTGCCTTGCCATGTGATTCCCCACTTGGGGATGGAGACGATAGCTGTTGGCGTGATACCGCCCTGGACCACATTCTTGGAGGATGTTGGTGGAGCTGTCCCTGTGTCCAGCAGCCACCGGATCTGTCCCTCTCGGTTGATCAGAGATGCCATTTTGCCTGTATCGTTCCTGGGATGATTCAGATCAGTAATGACCCAAATGCCCCAGCCTGAGAGGTGAAATGGGCATTTCCTGCAAAATTCCCACCTGGCATCACCAACTCGGCCTGAAAGCAGGCTGGGAAGGAAGGAGGAAGGGGCAGTTAGTGGCCAAGTTAATTGTGGGCTTGTGTAAAATCATGCTTTCTTGGTTATTACTTCAAACTTTACAAGGAAACATGAAATAGTACCTGAATTACTATTTATTTTTTGTTTATTGCTTTTCTTTCTTTGACCCAATCCGGTTCAGGGGGGTAATTTTCAGCTTAGAAGTATATCACACTATGGGGTTTATATTGCCGTAATAGCAAGGAACAAAGGCCAACATCTTCAGAGGAGGCAGACTCTAAATATTGATTTTCCAAGAAGATTTTATTTACAAAATGGTAATTAAGGGACTTCATTTGTTCCACCGGAAAAGGGCTTCGTTAGAACGCGGGCTCAGGTGGCGTTTGCTCTCCTCGGTGACCTTCACTTATGAACTGTCTCCTTTTAAAATTCTTCCTCACTGGTTTGCACTTGTTTTAGTGCTCTGGGAATGACACACTTCAAGAACCGGGAATGCTCAGAGTTCGTCAGAGAAAATACTCCCCTGGAAATAAACTTGGGGACAACTTTGCTTTTCTTGCACTTGTCATGTTGCTTAATTCACAAGGTGGCTTTTTCCTATAAAACCCGCATTAGCTGGGTGCAGTTGGATTTGCGTGGGCCCTTCGTGACCCACACACCCCGCAAGCCCTTGAATTTGTAGGATTTGGACATCTTAAGGGAGGACAGGCAAGCCTGCAGGTTATTTACGCACTGAGTTTGAAGACCGTTGGTGGCTCTGGGAAGGTACCGTGTAGGAAATCATATTTCAGTTCCCAGAAGCATGACAAAGAAGTACGTGGAGAACTGGGATGTGAACCAGCTGCTCCCGATTTATGGATAATTTATGGGTTTGACTTTGGAAGACACGTGGAAATGGCTTTTGCGGGGAGGGTCTCCGCACGAGCACCCAAAGCCCGGCTTAGCGGTGGGGCATCAGCATCGTTCAGCCTTCCTTGCAGCGAGCAGGGATCCCGTGCTGGGATCACGCAGCCGTATCCCACAAAAAGGGATGTGCAGCAGCCCCAGAGCAGCTGACAGCGACGCACATCAGTCTCTCCTTCTCATGTGGCTGCGATTATTTTGCTACCAGGTTGCCTGTGTATTTTTTCTCTGTGTGCTGCTCCACTGAGCTGCTCTTGAAGTGCATCACTGGTTCAGGGGGGTGTGTTTCTTCAAGGACTGAGCCCATCGTGGGCAGCCAAACAGCCTCCCCTGGATTAGGCTGGGTTT